TGCACTAGCCATGGGAAATACAGGGTTAATGGGATAAGGAGGGGAATGGGTCTGGGTGGGATACTCTTTGGAGGGTCAGTGTGGACTTGTTGGGCCAAATGGCCTTATTCCACACTGTATGGATTCTGTGTAGACAGACATCCTGAATTTCAGATGAAACATTAGTTAATTAGATAAAGAAAGTATACAACTGTGGCCGTTGACGATGGTTCACTGATGTCGGAGAACAAACTGGCTGTTGGTGCAGAATGTTTCAGTCTTGCGAAAGTGGTGGGGGCAGCATCCAGCTCTCAAACCAAGTGTTAGGGAACCCTCGCCTTGGCTTTTCTTCTGTACTTTTTTTTAAAAAGAACATCCTTGCTCAGAACCTGCCAACCACGGCAAATGCGCTACGCTTTCAGCTGCCTTGAGGCTGCCTTGAGGATCTGATTAAGAAATGGTCAGGAACAAAGAATATTACCTTGTTAAGATAATTTTGGCAATTCTAATAACATACTTAAAAGCAACTAGCGAGTCTCACGCCCTTCTGCCTGTTGAGGACCCCATAACCACGGCTGGCCTGAAGGTTCGATACCTCCAGTCCTCAACACCAGTTGCGACATAATCCGAGGTGAAGTCCAGCAAAAATATTTATAACTGGCTGAATTTGATGTTAGGTGCTGGACTGCTCGCACTCTGATTCTTAATCTGAATATTTTTGCCATTCGTTCCTTTTCCTTGACTGTTATAAACAACTCCATCTTCATATACAACAATGTGAACCTGGAGAAACACAGCAGGCCAGGCAGCATCAGAGGAGCAGGAAAGTTGACATTTCGGGTCGGAACCCTTCTTCAGAAATGGGGCAGGGGCAGGGAGCTGGGAAATAAATAGAGGAGGGGTGGGGCTGGGGAAGGAAGATGGAATGGTGATATACAGCTTGTTTCGTGCACTTACATGAGCTACTATCCATGTTTCCATTAACCATTTGTAATCTGATTTGGAGATATCATTCTGGTACCATACACTATATCTTCCTAATTTCTTGCTGCACCTGCACTAACATTTTGCATTTGGTGCACAAGAAAACCCAGATCCGTCGGCACTGCACTTTTTTGGAATGTCAGAGATGCAATAAGGCAATGTTGGATTTAGTAATGAGTAATAAACCAGATTTAATGAGTGATTAGTAACCTAATTGTGTGTGAGCATTCATGAAATAGTGATCATAACATGATTGAGTTCAATGTAGCATTGAAGGCAAAAGGCATGAATGAGCTACTATAATTTTAGATTTAGGTAAGAACATAAGAACTAGGAGCAGGAGTAGGCCATCTGGCCCCTGAGCCTGCCCTGCCATTTAATAAGATCATGGCTGATCTTTTTGAGACTCAGCTCCACTTACCCGCCCACTCACCATAACCCTTAATTCCTTTACTGTTCAAAAATTTATCTAGCCTTGCCTTAAAAACATTCAGCGAGGTAGCTTAACCGCTTCACTGAACAGGGAATTCCACAGATTCACAACCCTTTGGGTGAAGAAGTTCCTCCTGACCTCAGTCCTACATCTGCTTCCCTTTATTTGGAGGCGATGCCCTCTAGTCCTAGTTTCACCTGCTAGCGGAAACAACCTCCCTGCCTCCACCTTATCTATTCCCTTCATAATCTTATATGTTTCTATAAGATTTCCCCTCATTCTTCTGAATTCCAATGAGTATAATCCCAGTCTACTCAGTCTCTCCTCATAATCCAACCCTCTCAACTCTGGAATCAACCGAGTGAATCTCCTCTGCACCCCCTCCAGTGCTAGTATATCTCTTCTCAAGTAAGGAGATCAAAACTGCACACAGTACTCCAGGTGTGGCCTCACCAGGACCCTGTACAGCTGCAGCATAGCCTCCCTGTTTTTAAACTCCATCCCTCTAGCAATGGCAGACAAAATTCCATTTGCCTTTTTAATTACCTGCTGCACCTGCAATCCTACTTTTAGCGATTCATGCACAAGGACACCCAAGTCCCTCTGCACAGCAGCGTGCTGCAATTTTTTACCATTTAAAACATAGTCCATTTTGCTGTTATTCCTACCAAAATGGATGACCTCACATTTATCAACATTGTACTCCATCTGCCAGACCTTTGCCCACTCACTTAAACTATCTATATCCCTCTGCAGACTTTCAATGTCTTCTGCACACTTTGCTCTACCACTCACCTTAGTGTCATCTGCAAATTTTGACACACCACACTTAGTCCCCAACTCCAAATCATCTATGTAAATTGTAAACAATTGCGGTCCCAACACTGATCCCTGAGGCACTAGCCACTGACCACCAACCAGAAAAACACCCATTTACCCCTACTCTTTGCTTTCCACTGGTCAACCAATCCTCTATCCATGCCAATACATTACCTGTAATAAGGCCGACTTTAATGAGATGAAATAGAGACTATGTAAATGGGGAAAATCTGCTCATGGGTAAAACAACCAAAGAACAGTGGAGGGTGTTTAAAGAAACATGTAATAGAATACAAAACAATTTGTACTTCAAAGCCAGTGAAGTTCCAGTTCACAGTAGTAAAAACAGCAATGGACAACTGAAGAAATAAGGGACAGCATAAAACTAAAAGAAGGGCTTGTAAAAATGCAAAAGTAGCACAGATCCTGCTGAATGGGAAAGGTACAAAGATCATCAAAGGACCACAAAGCAGCTTTTAAGAGCTACAAAAAAGAGGTTAGGAAAGGAAACTTGCCAGGGACATCAAAATCAATAAGAAGAAATTTTATAATTTCATAAAGAGAAAAGAGGTGTCAGGAGCAATGTTAGCCTACTAAAGACTAAAAGTGGAGACATTGTCAATAACTATGGGGAAAATGGCAGACAGATCGAATAATTACTTTGCCTCATTATTTACAGTGGAAAAGGAGAATAGCTTGTCAGAAGTCCTGAGGAAATTAAGTGGATTGGGAACAGGGACTGAATAAAATAAAAGATAAACATTGGTAATGAGGAGATTAATGGAATTAAAAACTGACAAATCCCTAGTACCGGATGATTTCTATCAGAGGGTTTTAAACGATGTAGGGAGCACTTTGTAGATGTCTTAACTACAATCTTTCAGAGTTTCCTAGATACCGGAGTCATCCCTCTGGATTGGAAAGTTGCACTCCACTTTTTAAGGAGGGAATTACAGACCAGTGAACCTAACATCTATGGTGGGGAAAATTGATGGAGTCTATAATCAAGGACAGGGCGACTGAACACGTTGAAAGTTTTCATTTAATCAGGGAGAGCCAGCATGGATTCATGGCAGGTAGGTCATGCCTGACAAACCCTACTAAGTTTTTTTGAAGAGGAGAGTAAGGAAAATGTCTGTGGATCTTGTTTGTATGGATTTCAAGAAGGCAATTGATAAAGTCCCACATAAGAGACTGCTAACTATGGTAGAAGGTCGTGGAATTAAGGCAAATTACTGACATCACGGGGAAATTGGTCGAGGGGCAAGTGACAGAAGATAGGGATAATGGTTCGATACTCAAATTGGCTGGATGTGACTAGTGGCGTCACAAAAGGATCAGTGTCAACTATTCACATTATTTATTAATGACTTCGATAATGGCATAGAAAGTCATATATTTAAATTTGCTGATGACACAAAGTTAGACAGCATTGAAGACAATGTAGATAATAGCATGAAATTATAAGGAAAATTGAAAGACTAAGTGAATGGGTAAAAACCACGGCAGATGGAGTTCAATGTAAGTAAGTGTGAGGTATTCTATTTTGGATGAAAAAGGATCAGGGTATATTCCAGATGACATGAAAATACAGTAAATGTCCAAAGAAACGTGGGGGTTTTAGGAGCATTCTGTAAAATGTCATGAGCAGGTGCGGAAAATAATCAGTAAAGTTAATGGAATGCTGGCCTCTACTTCTGGAGGACTGGAGTACAAGGATGCATAAGTTATGCTGCAGTTATCCAAAATCCTGGTTAGACCCTACTTGGAGTACTGAGAGCAGATCTGGGCACCACACCTTAGGAAGGATATATTGGCCTTGGAGGGAGGACAGTGTTGGTATGCAAGAATGATACTTAGACTTCAGCAGTTAAATTATGAGGAGAGATTATTGAAATTATAGGCTTGTTTTCTCTAGAATTTAGAAGGTTCCGAGGTAATCTGATCAAAGTGTTCAAGACATTAACATGAAAAGACAGAATAGATAAAGATAAATTATTTTCACTGTTTGGGGATTATAGAACAAGGGGGAATAGTCTGAGAATTGGGGCTAGACCATTCAGGAGAGATGTTAGAAAGCACTTCTGTGCATAAAGGGAGGTAAATGCTTGGAACTCTCCTTCACAAATGGCAGTGGATGTTGGATCAGTTGTTAATTTTAAATCTGAGATTTTTTTTGTTAAGCAAATGTTTTAAGGGATATGGGTCAAAGGTATGTATATGGAATTAGGCCACAGATCAGCCATGATCTCATTGAATGTTGGAACAGGCTCATGGGACTGAATAGCCTACTCCCGTTCCTATGCATGAGCTCATATTTTCTTACATTAAGCTCCATCTGCCAAGTTTTTATTTCCCATCTTCTCAACCTATGATATCCTCTTGCAGGTTTCTTATGTCCTTATCAAAGCAGCCTCTGAAATAACTCCAAAAAGGCCAGTATCCCGTCACCAAGTCACTCTTTATTTACACTTGGAGAGTCCTTAACACTAATGCAGCTCCCTCAGAGCCAGCTCTGAGTCAACAGAACCGCTGACAGTCCTGTTTATATCTGTCAGCCAGGGCTCCCTAATTGGACCAGATGAACAGCCCCAATCAGGAAATGCACATTCTATTAGGTCCACCTGGCAGACATCATTACAATCACTACATCCCTCCTCCTCTGAGTCTGAGGACATAGACTGGTTCTTAATTTTGTATCTCCTCCTGGAATGTTTTAAGCACTGGGTCAGGTTCCTCCAACTCTGCCTCTGATATGGGTGGCGTGTAACACACAGTAGTTCACCTCTTGTGCCAGAGGCGTCTCGGAAGAAACTCATTCTCCTCTTCAGGTGGCAAAGGCATTGAGATGGTGACAATCGCCGTGTCCGTCTCCAATTCAGAGATATCTTCAATGATTGATAGAGACGGAGAACTCACAGGTTCCAGAACAGTAGGAAAGGCAGTCAAGGAGCCTGGCACATTTTGCTTCTGCACTGTTTTTGAGGTTGCAGCTTTCATACGGTCCATGTGCTTGTTCAGGACTGTCGAACCAACATATACGTCACTGGGCCTGACCTCATGTCAATCATCACCATGCAGGGCCATTCTCATTTCACCAAATTTTGTCCACTGAAATAAACTGTCTGCCTTGCTTAGTGGAGTCTTATGTTCCTGATGTGGTGTTCCTGGTGCCATTTCACCCCAGCACCGAGGTCCAGGAAGATCAGATTTAACCTGGTGCGGAGTCTTCTTCCCATTAGCAACTCTGCTGGAGGTACCTCTGTAGTTGTGTGAGGGGTGGTCCAGTAATCAAATAGGACTGGGACAGTTTGATATTTAGTGAAACTGTAGGCTGTTTCTCGAAGCCTGCCTTCAAAGTTTGGACTGCTCTTTCTACTAGACCATTGGATGATAGGTGGTATGGAGCTGTCCTTATATGACAAATACCATTCGACTTTAGGAAATACTCAAATTCCCTGCTGGTAAACGATGACTTGTTATCTGTGACCAACACTTCTGGGAGTCCATATATTGCAAAAGATGTGCACAGTTTTTCTATCGTCGTCTCTGTGTTTGACAAATAAACTGTATGTTATTCCAGCCAATTTGAATGGGTGTCCACAATGACCAAGAACATTGAGCCCATGAAAGTACCTGCACAGTTGATGTGTAACCAAGACCAGGGTTTTGAGCAGCTATTCCCATGAATGTGCGGGAGCTGCTGGCAGTAATATTTGTCCTTCTGGTGCTGTGGGCACTCCCCCACTGAGGCAGTTATGTCTCCATCCAATCCTAGCCAGCAGACATAACTTCTTGCCAACATCTTCATTTTGGAAACCCCGGATAACCCTAGTGGAGATCAGTAAGTATCTGGCCGTGACCTTTGCTCAGGAAATAACTCTTGCTCCCCATAATAATATGCTGTCCTCTACTGTGATTTCGTCTCTCCAGGTCCAAAAAGGTTTCAATTCTGGTTGTGACGACCCTTTGGCTTCTCCCATCACCAGCAGCCTTTTCAATTTTGCCAGGACCAATCTTCCTGTGTCCAAAGTCTGATATTGTCAGCTGAAACTAAAAGTGTGTCTCGAAAATTTAAAACTATTACAGAGTCTTCCAGTGTGGTACCACAGGTGGTGTATCTGCCAGCGGGAGGTGGCTCAATGCATCTATGTTTGCTACTTGCCCTTCCAGATGGTGTTCCAACTTGTAATCACATGCACTTAATAGTAGAGCCCACCACTGAATTTGGCCTGAAGCTATGGTGGCTCTGCCTTGTCCTCTTTAAGTAGACCTAGCAGGGTTTGTGGTCTGTTATTGTTGCAAATTTACGTGCACAAATGTATTGGTGGACCTTCCTGACTCCAAATATGACTGCCAAGCCTTCCTTCTGTATCTGGGTGTATTTATGCTCTGCATTAGCCAAAGTCCTCGATGCTTACACTATTGGGCGTTCCTCTCCATTGGGCCATCTATCAGCTAACACTACATCAAGGTCATACAGGGAGGCACTGCATGTCAGATCTCTTGGAATGATAGTGTGCCAACATCTTAGAGGATGATAGCTGTTTCTTCTCTCCCCTGAAGGCTATGGCTTGGCTATGCAACCATTTCCAAGGCTGACACTTTTTTTAAGCAGTTGATGCAAAGGTGCCAGGATGGAGGCCAGGTTATGTATGAACTTTCCATAACAGTTCACCAGCCCAAGGAAAGACCTAAGCTTTGGTACTGATGTGGGAGCTGGGGCACCTTTGATCATCCTTACTTTATCTTCCGACGGCTGTAACCTGGTCTTGTTGACTCTGTAACCCAAGTATGTCACTTGGGGTACCTGGAACCCATATTTTTCCCTTCTTAAGTGGTACACCTGGCTTGGTGAAATATTTAAGGACTATGTCCAAGTTCTCGAAGTGCTATTTATGGTCTTCCCTGTGATTAGTATGTCATCCAGCTAAATGGTGACGTGCAGTAGACTTTGTAAAATGTTCTTCATCGTCCAGCTAAATGGTGACGTGCAGTAGACTTTGTAAAATGTTCTTCATCGTCTGCTGAAAAATAGATGATGATACCCCAAATGGCAGTGTTGTATATGGGAAAAACCGTCATGGGTATTAATTGTGAGATAACAAGGTGTAGAGCTGGATGAACACAGCAGGCCAAGCAGCATCAGAGGAGCAGGAAAGCTGACGTTTCGGGCCTAGACCCTTCTTAAGAAATGGGGGAGGGGAAGGGTTTTCTGAAATAAATAGGGAGAGAGGGGGAGGTGGACAGAAGATGGGTAGAGGAGAAGAGAGGTGGAGAGGAGACAGACAGGTCAGAGAGGTGGGGATGGAGCCAGTAAAGGTGAGTGTAGGTGGGGAGTTAGGGAGGGGATAGGTCAGTCCATGGAGGATGGATAGGTCAAGGGGGTCGGATGAGGCCAATAGGTAGGAGATGGGGCTGGGGCTTGAGATGGGAAGAGGGGATAGGTGGGAGGAAGGACAGGTTAGGGAGGCGGGGACGAGCTGGGCTAGTTTTGGGATGCGGTATGGGGAGAGGAGATTTTGAAGCTTGTGAAGTCCACATTGATACCATTGGGCTGCAGGGTTCCCAAGTGGAATATGAGGTGCTGTTCCTGCAACCTTCGGGTGGCATCGTTGTGGCACTGCAGGAGGCCCAGGATGGACATGTTGTCTGAGGAATGGGAGGGGGAGTTGAAATGGTTCGCGACAGGGAGGTGCAGTTGTTTAGTGCGAACCGAGCGTAGGTGTTCCGCAAAGTGGTCCCCAAGCCTCCGCTTGGTTTCCCCGATGTAGAGGAGGCCACAATGGGAACAGCGGATACAGTATACCACATTAGCAGATGTGTAGGTGAATATCTGCTTGATGTGGAAAGTCTTCTTGGGGCCTGGGATGGGGCTGAGGGAGGAGGTGTAGGGGCAGGTGTAGCACTTCCTGCGGTTGCAGGGAAAAGTGCCGGGTGTGGTGGGGCTGGAGGGGAGTGTGGAGCGGACAAGGGAGTCCCGGAGAGAGTGGTCCCTCCGGAAAGCAGATAAGGGTGGGGACGGAAAAATGTCTTTAGTGGTGGAGTCGGATTGCAGATGGCGGTAGTGTCGGAGGATGATGCGTTGGATCCGGAGGTTGGTGGGGTGGTACGTGAGGACGAGGGGGATTCTGTTTTGGTTGTTATTGCGGTGAGGGGGTGTGAGGGATGAGTTGTGGGAAATGCGGGAGACACGGTCGAGGGTGTTGTTGACCACTGAGGGGGGGGACGTTGCGGTCCTTGAAAAATGGGGACATCTGAGATGTTCGGGAGTGGAATGACTCATCCTGGGAGCAGATGCGGCGGAGGCGAAGGAATTGGGAATAGGGGATGGCATTTTTGCAAGGAAGGTGGTTGGGAGGAGGTGTATTCTCGGTAGCTGTGGGAGTCGGTGGGCTTGAAATGGATATTGGTTTCCAGGTGGTTGCCAGAGATGGAAACAGAGAGGTCCAGGAAGGAGAGAGAGGTATCAGAGATGTTCCAGGTGAGCTTAAGGTTGGGGTGGAAGGTGTTGGTGAAGTGGATGAACTGTTTGATCTCCTCGTGGGAGCACGAGGCGGCGCCGATACAGTCATCAATGTAACGGAGGAAAAGGTGGGGGATAGGGCCAGTGTAGCTTTGGAAGAGGGATTGTTCCACGTAACCTACAAAGAGGCAGGCATAGCTTGTGCCCATGCGGGTACCCATGGCTACCCCCTTTGTCTGTAGGAAGTGGGAGGAATTGAAAGAGAAGTTGTTGAGGGTGAGGACGAGTTCGGCTAAGCAGATGAGGGTGTCAGTGGAGGGGGACTGGTCGGGCCTGCGGGACAGGAAGAAGCGGAGGGCCTTTAGGCCATCTGTATGGGGAATGCAAGTGTATAGGGACTGGATGTCCATGGTAAAGATGAGGTGTTGGGAACCAGGGAATTGGAAGTTTTGGAGGAGGTGGAGGGCGTGGGTGGTGTCACGGATGCAGGTAGGGAGTTCCTGGACCAAGGGGGAGAAAATGGAGTCGAGATAGGTGGAGATAAACCCCACCTCTTCCTCCGTTACATTGATGACTGGACCAGCGCTGCCTCGTGCTCCCACGAGGAGCTCGAACAGTTCATCCACTTCACCAGCACCTTCCACCCCAATCTTAAGTTCACCTGGACCATCTCTGATACCTCCCTCTCTTTCCTGGACCTGTCTGTTTCCATCTCTGGCAACCACCTGGAAATCGATATCCATTTCAAGCCCACCGACTCCCACAGCTACCTAGAATACACCTCCTCCCACCCACCTTCGTTGCAAAAATGCCATCCCCTATTCCCAATTCCTTTGCCTCTGCCGCATCTGCTCCCAGGATGAGGCATTCCACTCCCAAACATCTCAGATGACCTCATTTTTCAAGGACCACAACATCCCCCCCTCAGTGGTAGACAACACCCTCGACCGTGTCTCCCGCATTTCCCGCAACTCATCCCTCACACCCCCTCCCCGCAATAACAACAAAAGCAGAATCCCGCTCGTCCTCATGTGCCACCCCACCAACCTTCGGATTCAACGCATCATCCTCTGCCACTTCCACCACCTGCAATCTGACCCCACTATCAAGGACATTTTTACCTCCCCACCCTTATTTGCCTTCCGGAGGGACCGCTCTCTCCATGACTCCCTTGTCCACTCCACACTCCCCACTCGCCCCACCACCCCTGGCACGTTTCCCTGCAACTGCAGGAAGTGCTACACCTGCCCCTACACCTCCCCCCTCAGCCCCATCCCAGGCCCCAAGAATACTTACCACATCAAGCAGATGTTCACCTGCACATCTGCTAATGTGGTGTATTGTATCCACTGTTCCTGTTGTGGCCTCCAAGCGGAGGCTTGGGGACCGCTTTGCAGCACACCTACGCTTGGTTCACACTAAACAACTGCACCTCCCAGTTGCGAACCATTTCAACTCACTCTCCCACTCCTCAGAAGACATGTCCATCCTGGGCCTCCTGCAGTGCCACAACGATGCCACCCGAAGGTTGCAGGAACAGCAC